ACCGCACGGACAGCCCGTGCGTTGGCCAATTATTTTATCTTATTCAATTTTATTTATAAGAGAGTAGAAAAATGCCGTGAGAAATTTCCCGAAGGACAGTCAACGATGAAGGCGAAAGTTGCTCAGAGTCTGAAAATGAGTGATAAATTCTAATCGTAGGAAAAAGCAAACCTTCAGCATGGCAAACTTCATTTTGCGCGAGTTCAGCGCTGCCATTGCCGGATAACCAAAGCCGCCCATTCCGAACGCTTCTTCCAGCTGTGGTTGCTTGCCAGCTTCTGTCCATATCCAACCCCACGCACTTTTCTTGTATTTTTCCGCCGAATCTTTCAGCACCTGGAAGATAGGGTCTATAAAAAGAAATCTGATAGCAACTGCTGGATGTCACATATTAAAGCCCCCTTCCCCTCCCCCATTCAAAAGTTCGAAAGCGATCACTTGAACTTCTTCTAAACAGAAAATATACGTGCGTTGCGTACGGCAACAAGAAGGGAATGGATTCAAGCAAGCCGTTTGTAGCATCCATGTTGACTCTGGATCGAAGGATGCGGTGTAAGCGAACTTTGTCTCCTTATGAGACAGCAACTTTGGTAATATGACAGTGGAATTGATACTGTTATGAGATACAATTCTAGCTGAGAACTACATAGAAGCTGAGGAGAGCATAAAAAGTGCCGTTTGTCTGGCGAAATGCCCCAATGTGAAAAGGAGTAGTAAAGTTCAAGGTGAAATGGTAATATTCAACATGAGCCAAAGACGCCACGAAATTACTGTAGGCTCTCGTAATAGCGTAATATATCAAATAGTGATTAACGGTTTTTGTTAAAAACAGATTAAAGACCAACTGCGTTGCTATGACGCAGTACCCCTGTCCCTGGTTCAAACTTTAACCGCCCTACCCTCACTGAATTTCCGATCTTTGTCCCCTGGGGTATAAAAGCACTTCTCCCCATCGCCGGGATCGCCACCACCAATTTTCTATTGCGACTTCTACATAACTACTACTCCTGTTCTGGGGAGCTTCGGCTCCCCAGAGCCTCACCTACTTTTTATGCCTTATCCTTTTACTTCACTATGTATAGGTAAACATGCATATAGGTCGCGACGTGTTACACACGCACGCACACACACACACACACACACACACACACATACATACATACATACAAACGAGGCACTTACTAATCTAATAAAATAACAATTAGGGTTGCGATAGTAGGCTCGCCTGCGCTTCTGTGAGGAGAACCATCCAACTTTTCAAGAAACGAAACGAACGTCAGGATCGCCAGCGCTGTCTGACCATCACACAATGCGGAGTTGGTAAAAACAATTGCGTGGCTTGGGGAACCATGTTTTTCCAAGTATTTTGCGCAATATGTTACTGAATGTGATAAGTGGATCAAGGGAGGTCTGAGGAATATCGGAGGCGATAAATGGCAAATTTACTTAAGCCATAAGCGCAGTTCGTGATGATAAGGGCGACCACAATCTCACCTTCAAATAATCATTACGGCATTTGCTCTGGCAGTCCAAAATGTGCGGCAGAACGGCAACAATGCAAAGCTGCTTCTCCTTGCACGCATCATCAACAACGTCTTGTGAAAGAGCCTCAATCACTTCTGGTGCCGGCATATTTTCAGCAACCTGAAATGATGCCCAAATAAGCCTGAAAATTTGGAATCGGAGCAGATGTCAATCTGTGCCGTTTTCCCTCTCGCCGAATTAAGATACACAATTTCGCGACACTTTTAGACACAGTTCAACTATGTGACTCAGTCGCATTTCATTTCAGAGAACTAAGACAAAAAACAAATACTACTGCACAGTTGAAACTGAATTTCATGGGTTTCTTTGGCCGACTGGATCTCTTCATAACGGCTTTTTTGCTTAGTGCATTTGCCTTAGGTAATATTAAAATGGACCGAAACATTTCTTACCTATTATAAAAATTCCCTTAGTACCCTTTCCTCGTTTTCTTTGTTTCCTCCCCTTCTTCATATTTTCTCTTCAACCTTTAATTAGGTAATACTAAAACTTATGCGATTCACAAGGTGTTAAGGGAAAAAAAAATTCGTTTCTGAACATTTTTAGCAGTTATAGTAATAGCCGGATTTACGCGTATCTCATCTGAAACATCGACTCAAAATATGATTTTATAATATAATAGGTAAATTATAAAAGTTTAATGGTTTTAATTTATGCATTAAAGCCCATTCCGGTATTTTTCATAAGCGATGCCGATACGCCCTACGGCCATTATCCACTCAGGGAAATAGCAAACTGTTCTTTTAGGATCTGCAAGTAGTGCAACTCGCCAGTTACAAATGAAATACGAAATAATATTTCGGTACTGCCAAGAATTTACTTTGGCAAGAGCATATTCGACGATGTCGGCGCTCGTTCGTCCACCATTGTAATCCTCAGCATCGCTATCGCTTGAACCCGGAGCGAAATATTTGATTGTTGGGAAGCCCTGGATGCCAAAACGGCTTGCTGTACTCTGATGCACCGTAGCATCCAGTGCTCCAAGCTGCAAAAAAAGCGCTGTTTGAAAAAGTTCTTAAAAAACTCGATTTTTGAACTAGAAAAATTTGGCCTGACCGATACAAATTGTAGCTCATCAAAATCAGCAAGAGACACGAAAGTGCTTGAAAGTGACCATTCTGCTTAGAGATGGCAAGTTATCGATAATTACTCCGTATTTAAAAAATCTCTTAGGCATAAGCTGAAAGCAGTTTGTCCCAGTCATTCTAGGCAAGCCAGTGTCATCAAATATCATCGAATCAACGAATCGTAAAAGAGAAATGACTGTCGAAAAAGCAGGCTGAAACAATATCTCTGGCCAGAGA